GTAGGGGGGTGGGGGGGGGGGGGAAAGGAACTTTTGAAGGAGGAACAGCCGTTACAGATCACCAGTGGATGGCTGCCGTATCCCCGCTGGTTTTCCTCTGGGTCAGGTTTTTGGAAGAGGACCTGAAATTGTCCGTCATAACCTCCACCGTTTTTTGGGAGACAACGGCCAGTCAGGAGACACATTTTTCTCGCTTCTGTTTTCCTTTTTTTTCTCTTGGGTGTTTTTTTCTTGTTTGTTATTCTCCTCTTTCTTCAGTTTGGTGTTGGATTTTATTTGCCCGATTTCTTTTCATTGTTGGGTTCTTGGATTGCGATCAGAGAGTGACGTCATCTGCTCCGTAAGTGACCATCAACTGTCCATGTTACTGCAGTTTTCTGAGAAGAAAGGAAAAGAGATTGGGTAAATAAAGACGTATAAAAAGTTGTGAATTCCAGAATATCTAACACAACAGAAAGTGCAAAATCTCTCCTAACTCAAGTTTGGGTGTTGGAAACTATGGGGAAACCAAATTTGGCATTTACCGTTGAGCCCGTCCGCCTCTTGTGAGTCGAGGAAGGGCGCAGGGCCCCAGACGCGCACTGTGCCGTCATCAGAGGCGGACGCCAAGAGCCCCGGGATGACCGGGTTCCAGCTCACACAGTTAACGGTGCGCGTGTGACCTGTTAGCTCAGCGATGGGAAGTTCACCCCGTCGGTGCCAGATGTACACTTTGTGGTCTGTGGAGAAGAGATTTAAAGGAAATAAAACCAGTGGCAGTGGAGATATTGTGAGAACACATGGATAATGTTATGGAAAATATAAAAAATATTTAAGAGGACGCAAGATTCTTGACTCTTCAAAAGTTCACAGAAGGAAAATATGGTAATATAGTTTACAAATCAACAGTTATGGTGTTATTACTGTGACTCTACCTTCGCTGCCACTGGCAATGAAGTCTTCGTTGTGTCCTCCAAAGCAGGAGTGGATAGTGTAGAAGCCCTGGGTCACACCTTGGTATTTTCTCACCAGCACCCGGTCCTGAAGGTCCCACAGGTGCACTCCCTATGAAAACGTTGTCGAAGAAAGAATAGCCTTTAAGCGCTGAAACGTCTTGCATAGTGTTTTGCAGAAAAGTGCGCTTTAGTAGCGAATAAACAGATATTAGTGATGGCAGAGTTGGTCAGAAAGCTTACCTGAGTTGCTACATTTAACAAAGCTAATCTTCCGTTCTTTGAAACAGTAAAAGACATGATAGGGTGGTCCTCCTGGACTCTGTGAAGGACATGTAAACAAGGCACAAGCAGTCAGACATCTTATTAAATAATGGAAGTATACTAAATGTGTAGGACAATGAAGGAGACACTAAAGATGAATAATAATAATAATAATAATAATAATAATAATAATACACATCATCAGGAAACTTCCCCAGTTGATTTCTTACATAAAGAAGTATTATCTTATCCGTGTCAATTTGTATAAACTTTTTGTTGAAATATTTTATTTCAATGGGTTTAATATTTGCACAGGGGGACATTTGAATACCTCTAATCAGAACATACTGTCAACAGCCATAACAAACACCTCTGTAAAAACCCTCAGAAAATAATTACATACAATTTGAAAGACACTACAGAGTAATAGGATAAACACTAATAAGAATCACCAAGAAATGTCCAGAGCTGGTTTCTTACCTTAAAATAAATATAAATCATATTATTATTAATATAAATACTGGGATGTAATAGAAGTTTTCTGAAGTGTTATGTTTAAATGTGCAATTGAGACATGATCTAGCTTTTGGTGTTCTTTGGAGAAATATACAGACACAAATAGACAAAGAGAAGTCAAATAAGCACCTAAATGTGTTTTTGGGATAGTTTTTTGCTTTACCTCTATTGGCTAGCATTCATTAGCAAAATGTTGTATTTTCGACTTCTAATTGAACCATATAGATATACCACAGAAAAGGAAATAGAAGGGCTGCCACATACATGTTTCTGTCTGTAAGGTCCTCAAAGTTGTACCCCCGGATACGTTGGTGTGTGTCGGAGGCCAGCACTGCTCTGCCGTCGCCCAGGCACCACAAGCACTGCACTCTGACGCCCTCCCAGGAGTCCAGCAAGTTACCGTCCAGGTCCTGAAAACAGAATGCAGCGACCTCAAAACTCATTCTCAACAGGGAGATGAAGACACGGACACAGTATGGCCTCCCTATTTAATCTGGTAGATGATCTTATTGCTTTTCGCAGTTTGCCAGCTTCTTAAATGAGGGTGGAACAGCTCCAAATGTTTCAAGCTTACTGATATTGACAGACTTTATTAACTAAACATAGACCTGGTCATGCACAACACACAGGCAACAAAATATGATAGAAAATAAAGATTTTTATAGGTTCCTCAGGTTCATGGCTAGAAAAATCAATACACAGAAATATCTAATTATCTTGGAGTGGTCTGCTTAAGGTCAGAACAACACTTGAGCAGCAATATATATATAAATATGTAAGACTCACATACAGTGACTAGCCCTTTTTTTGACGCCCTCACCTGCTTCCAGCATTGATTAAATACAGAGAGAATCCATAACTCTTTACATTTTATATTGTTTTTTTCTATAGAACTCTATAGAAATAAATATGTTTACTGTTGATGTGTATACCGTATATTTACAGTTTGGTCTTACTTCATAATATCTCAATTTGTGATAATAAAAAAAAGGGCATCCATCTAATTGTTAAAAGGAAAACGGACAGATAACATAGGAGCAGATTTACTGGTCCAAACACATCAAAGCGATACTGTTCAGGTAAACAAGTCAGTCACTTACACACTGATAAAACTGCCCCCTCTGCCCTCCGGTGACGAAGCGCTTGCCGTCGGGGTTCCACGCCACACTGGTCAGACTGTCTTCATGGGACTGGGACATTTTGGTCCGCAGCTCCCCCGTCTGCTCATCGAGGGGATTGTCAGAGATAGTGGGAAAAACAGAAGAGGAGAGAAATATGGGGGGGGGGAAGGGAGACGGCAAGAAAAAACATTAAGTAGGAGCGGGGGAGGGGTGGATGAAAGCAAAGTAAAAGGGGAGGGGAAGGTCATTGAGTACACACAGCCTACAGAGTATCTATGGGAGGCTTAAGGCCTGTTCTTCTGTTCCGCTTGTTTACTGAATTTAAATTAGACCGCTCAAGCCTTTGACATCCATGCTTTAGTGCACTGAAAAATGTCCGGAGCTGGCCTAGGGAAACACGGTTGGTTAAGAGGTATCACAAGTACAGGATTATGCACTGTGGGGAGTGAAACGAAGGGGAAATGTTACCTGAACGTTCCAGAGCCACAGCTCGGAGCAGTCGTCAGGTCCACAGGCGATCAGGTACATGTCGTCCGGACTCCAGGCTAAGTAGGAGACGCCGTACGCGTGACCCTCAAGGGTCCGCAGCAGCTTTAACTGGTGGGTCTCCTACACAGAGACAAGAACAAGAGGTTAACGGTGACATTAATTATTGTTTGTGGTGCGGCTAGGGTTGCACATTTATACACCAAAGTCATAGTGCATGTTCCATGAAATTAAAAACGATTTGGGACGGCTCCAAAAGTATATAACTGAGTCAAATATGCGTGGCAATTAGTTCCTCTTTCCATTTTAAATGTGGACTAAATTCAAACAAATATTTGAAAAGGTTTCCAACAAACATTAAAAGACCCTGGAGGAGAAGCCACTTCTGTGAAATGGACGCAATTTGTCCCAAAATGGTGGTTGTTATCTGGTAGATATGAGATAAACGGACTCCTACTTTTATAAAAACCAGTGTTCCTTACAAAAAGAGAAAACCAACTAAAGTTAAGGGTGCAATAAAACTATTAATAAATCCAAGAAAATAACAGACTTCCTTTAAAGGCCTAAGAGTAATAACTTCTATAAATAATATCTTGTAATCTAAGATGGAAATTAAAACAGTTTCTAACTTGTGTTTATTTGAATTAAATGTCATACTAAATTCTTAAAAAGTTATAAAAGTTCTTGGAAATGCCAAAAGAAACATGCCTGCAAATGCCCAGGTGCCTCATTTATAAACGGTGCGTACGTTCAAAAGATTGCGCTCTGACCCATGCGTACGCACTAAGCACAAAAACGGGAGAGACGAGAAACTGCGACACCGTTGGCAGAAGGAAGAATGGAGAGAAATATGTGGAAATAATACCATAAATAAAATGTTACCTCATTTATCATATATGAAGAATTCATTTTCAAACATTGATTAAAGCCAATCTTAAAATGATTAAACAAACGCCTGTTTGAGACTCCTCAGTGCACACAAAAACATAACTGGGAGAAATAAATAAATACGGATATGTTATTTAAAACCACCTCGAATATGTTGTGTTAATGTTATGAAATGTTTTCTCATAAATGATACGGTAAGCAGGAGGACAGAATTACGTCTAAACTGACGCCGTTTTGTATTTCTATAGGTTGTAGATACGAGCATGGTTTTATATACTATCATGTTTAATCATGTTTTATGCCGTTTGCTCTGAATTGATAAGTCGCTGATAAAACACAGGAGGTATGGAAACTAAGAACACCATATGTAACTCAACACATTAGTTTTATTTCCTTTAACCGGTGGGGGGGTTGAGACGCACAGGCTGCAGTGGAGACAGTGCAGCGCACAGCTGATCGACAGCTGGAACACAAACCACCAAATAAAAAAAAATAAACATGAATTGACTCCACTCCGCAGGGATCTCCCGATCTCATCATGGGGCGGGGGGGGTCTCCTTATGGGCTCAGAACAGTTTCTTAATACACACATGCACACAGAAGGATTCACACTTGTATTTCCGGATCCACACTTGTGTTTTTCAATGAACACACAAATGTGTTCCGTTTCATATACCGGTACATGTAAATAAAATCCAAATACAGAAAAAAGTTTTACATATGTATTTTTGATCCACACATATTTGTTTTCCGTTTAAAACCGCTGCACCTGCAAACACAAACCGCTTTCTGTGCATGGATCGCTGTGCATTCGTGTGTGGGTTTTTTGAGACTCCCCTGATGCTCACCCGATTCGTACTTGTAATTGTTTCTATCTATAGCCAATCACATGTCTCCTCAATTCTAAGCCAATCACATGAGCGCACGGAAAACAAATATGTGAGGATCAAAAATCCATATGTAAAACTTTTTTCTGTATTTGGATTTTATGTATATGAAACGGAACACATTTGTGTGTGCATTGAAAAACACAAGTGTGGATCCGGAAATACAAGTGTGAATGTGTGCATGTGTGTATTATGAGACTGTTCTGAGCCCATATCTCCTGTCCCCGGCACAAACACACTGCCTGTTATGTGTAATTTGTCGGATCACTTATTTATTTATGTTGGTGACGATCCGACCTCCATGCTGCTACTCTGGTTCAAACTGCATCCACCAAACAATATCATTTATTTCCACCTCCCTAAAATAACCAAAATCTGACACGGTGTGAGATGTCTTTTAGCTGTTCTGTCGTCATTTCCTGCGATCTTCTCCATGCAGTCAGTCAAAATGAATGAATGAATGGGCGTTTATAGGCAGATATGGGTGTTACGTGAAGCCCACAAAAGCTGCGCCGCATTTCAAGTTGAATGTAATTTATAAAAAGGGAAACCGGCGTAGGACGTGCCGCACGCAAGTCCTACGCCGGTAGGCAGTGTTTTATGAATCGGAAAATGTCAAAATGTATTTGCTTTGTCCTACGTAAGCAACCTTCCCACGTGAATCCTACGCAAGGCTTTATAAATGAGGCCCCAGGCCACACAATTCCTGCAGGATTATTTTAGCTGTGGACAAGGTCATAGAAAATAAAAGCAGCATGTGTATTTTTAGAAGTTATTTATTGGACTTACCGGGTCCACTTGCCAAATTATGACCGTAGTGTCTTTGGAGCCAGTGGCTAGTTTGGTGCCGTCATTTGAGAATTTGCAGAACCACACCTCGTTACAGTGCTCTGTGAGAATCTGTTGGGTGTAACAGGGGAACTGCTTCCTGTGTTACGGAGAGAAAATCTTCATTGTGTGAGTCTGAAACAGCAGCTTCCATCAGCTTATATCTCAAGTCATTAAATGCACAGCAATGATAAGAATAGAAGAAGAGCAGTGCAGCCATAAACAGATGCTGAGGGCAAGACATAAAAGGAATAAGACTTCAGACACAGAAGACAAACACAAAGCAAGCGTTTCAGTGCTTATGCCTCTACAGGAGGTCAACTGATACATAAATATAAGATGCTGCAGTATGATCATTTACCAGTGAGGGCTATGCAGTACAGACCTGCTGCAGACATGATCGAGGAGGAGAGAGACCGAGTCCAGACTGCTGTCCAGCTTGGTGTTGTGATAGAGGCAACGGTCCCTCTGCAGCTCCACAGCTTGCCGCAGCAGTGTCTGCATCCTCCGAGGGGGCAGCATCACAGAAGGTGGCAGGTACGCTACAAAGAGAGATAAAGGAAGACACAGGGGTTATGTATATAGTGGCAATGAAGTCAGGAATGTGTGTGTGAGCTCTAGGTTCGACAAATGTCTCCTCACTCTGTAGTTTGTCCAGCAGTCGGCAGCGTGAGGCGGTGCCCTTGCCCTCCCACTCTGCCTTAGCCTTCAGGTCCTCAGCATGGCTGCACATTAGGTACCTGCAGGAGGACACAAGCACACCGCTCAGAAATAAAAACACAAACAATGAAATGACCATCACAACAAAAATAAAAAACAAGCAAGTTACATTTTGATAAGAGCAAGAACACAAGCTAGTATTAAACTATTCATATAAGGAGGGGAAAATGCCACATTTCCATTGCATGCTAGCACCCAGCTTGACTTGTTTTTTTTGTAGGTAATTTTCTTGATTTATTTTTCCACTGCAGATATTACCCACTTAAGGTAGGGATACTCTCAGCTAAATGTTCATAGTGATGGCATGCGAAAGAAGTGGTGTGTTCCTTCATTGAGACTTTCATCTGCAATTAAACAGAAAAAACATCTGCACTTTAGTAAAACACACCACAACGTGTGAATAATAATAAATAAATAAATGTATGGCTGCTATTAACAGTAGCTTGGCTGTTAAATAATGTCTGGTTTGTGTCAATCCTCTACGACCAATCAGTGGTCTGCAGTGTTATTACTTCACCTTCTCACTCGACCGAGGTAAAACTAAAAAAGTTTCAGGTACTGTTAAAAACTTTAGCCGATTGGAAACAAAAAAGAACCTCTCCAAGCTAGTTGAGCCGTGCCAAACCATAGTATGCAGTGAAAATGTGGCTACTAATGAAGTACTACATCACGAACAGACTGAATACAAACAAAAACAAACATTGAATGAAAGTTCTAGACGTGTGAAAGGCAGTTTTTGTTTTAAGAGCTAGCTCTCAGAAAATGTAAAGACAGAGTCAAGGACACATTCTGACACAGCTGATTGATCAGGCTAACGGATCAATAGATTACACTGAGTGACAGTCTGTTACCACAAACAGGCTTGTCGGCAGTGTAAGGGTGATCAATACAAACTAATTGATTAGGTAATGGATCACAGGAATGTGTTTGGGCACCGCGTATGGATCCGACCAGGGATTAGAGGATCCTTCAGTTACTGACACCTTTAGAGTGTATTCCAGAGGAGGGCACAATTATTAACTAAAGATCATGGATAAATATTGAGACAAGCCATTGATTTTAACATGGTAAGGGTAAGCAATCTCCACAAGCACAGTTAGGACAAAAAGAAGAGCTGGGGTAAATACGGAAGCTAGTTCTTAAAGACCACATGACTATTATCAATAATGACACTTTCCCTGACTGTAGAAGATAAATACCCAACAAAAGTATCAATTTTATGGTGAATTTGACTGGTTTGAACTTTTACTGAGTTTGTAGATGTGTCTGGTAGACTGGTTGGACTTGGATGACTGTTATGACACAGAATCAAACTTCGTACCCGCTAAGTACATGGATGCGATCTGTGTTGTACTTGAGGGGTGTCAGCTCTCCCCGGAGCACCTGCAGAGCCTCCAGGACTTTACCATCCTCCAGATATTCTAGGTACTTCTGTTGTAGCAGCAGGAACTTCATACGCTGACGAGAGGAAGAGATACATAAGTACAGAGAAGATAATTTATCAAAAATACAAAGGAAGGAAGAAAATAATAACAACTAATCTTATACAACGGTGTTAGGTTTGCCTGTGATAATGATAAGAACAATAGAAGCTAGTACCCACAATTACAGAAGGACACAAAAAGCTTTGATTAGCGAACAAAACTAATAATAGTGATAGCATTGTGCAGACATAATTTACACATGAAACCAATGTCAATAAGGTTATGACGATAGCCTTCTTCCTTTATATGGAAGACCATTAACAAGTGTTTACAGAGTCTCTTATCTCAAGTCCCCAGTAGGAGCTGAAGTACAGTTAAATGTACCACCCAATAACATAAAAAACACTCGCCCACAAAAAGTCTACAAATAAAGAGTGACAGAACACATACAGCTCCTAAAGTAGACCTGCTGAATAAGTAAACTGGCAACTAGAACGGCAGAGAAAAAATAAATGTTGACAATGACAACAAAACCTGCTACAACTCAAGACCTAAAATGGCTACCCATGTTGTACAGCTGAAAATCAACAGCTGCAGCCATTTGGTCAATAACCCAGCTGGTGAAGGCAGTTAAACCGACTCCTGACACAGAGCAGCAGCTTCTTGATTGAGACACACGGGACTGTTTTTGAAGCTTATCTTGTCCGCTAATTAGTATGCTACGTGGGGCTGATTGGCCAGAGCTAAGTCCCATTTCCAACTAATATGATGCAGTGTGTACCATTTTAGAAATATAGTATACAGTATACATTTTGGTAGTTGGTATAATATACACAATGCATTAATAAGTTGTTTTAACAGCACATAAAAGCCTTCCAAACTGCTTATTATGATATCTGCAGTTTTTTCCTTCTAAAAACCGTTTATTTTTTCAAACATTTTGTTCCGAGCCATAGTTTTACCATCCATTAGTTAGGGTTTGGGTTGCCTTTTTTCCCTCGGTATGCCATGCATTGTGGGACAACAATTGTAGCTTAATCCCACTCAGAAATAATACAAAATTGGCAGGCATACTTTAATCTATGAGAAGTTAGTGCACCTAAGATTAAATAACTTTTCAATTTGGAAGAAGTACATACTCAAATTGGGATATAGCAATGGTTATACTCTTGCAGTAACACCCAAATTAAAAGTTGTTTAAAAATTCTTATAACAATGGAATTGCTGATAGTAATTATTTTAAAGGTCCCATGTCATGCTTTTCCGGTTATTACCCGTCCCCTTGTGTGTTATGTAGCTTTTTCTGCATGTAAACAGTCTGCAAAGTCCCAAACCCTCAAAGTACACCCTGTAGCGAGTAAAACTCTAACACAGAAAATACCTGTCTATGCTGCCCCAGAACGCCTCGTTGGAGATTTTTCTTTTTCCATTTTTGTTCTTCCTGAGTACAGTGACGTGACCATACCCAGGCCCAAATGGACCAATCCGTGGAGCTTCTCACACACACACTCACTCAGCCTTATCTTTTCTCAGCCGCGGCTCCGTGGATCTCCACTCACAGTTTGCCACACACTGAAGTGTGTGTGTGTGTGTGTGTGTGCTCAGGCTGAGTTCCACAGTTTCTTGCAGCCCCACGCAGCAACCAGGAAACGACACCAGTAATCAAGCTCACACTGTCCACTCCTCGAGCGGAGCAGCGAGCGCTGCAACGTCCCACCAACACGGCACCCAGTCCCCACGCAGCCTTCTCATCTGTTTGTCCTTACTGGTGTCATTTTCTGGTTGCTAACAAACGCCATTGTAACACATAAACACACATCAGAGCACAGTGATCTCATAGGGAGGGGGGGGCAGGAGCTCCAACAAGGCGTGTAGGACAGAGAGTGTACATATACTATACAGAGATGCTGTATGAGAAAACCAATGTGATTTTGGAACATTGAACAATGTAAATCTATTCTAGTAGACCTCAACAATGGAATTATGATCAGTAGAAATGGCCATGACATGGGACCTTTAATACACACATAAGAAATTAAGATTTTCAAGTCTCCATTTATATGTTTAATTAAAATTGATTGTGACAATGATATATAATAAATAAGATATTTAAACATTTAAAAAGGAACTTGTCAGTTATCTTCAGTGGACAATGTGTACAAAGGAGAAAAATATGTTTTCTGTGCTTTAATTTATTTGTTATTGATATACTTTATCTTATATCAGTAGAGCTCTAGATACATATAATATATTAATAAAGATAATAGGCCTATTTGATTCTATTAGGTTTAATCAGCGTTTTGCTTGAAATCCCTAATAGTAACGCGGTGTCCGTACTGCAGCTATACTTTGCGAGGCGTCATCCAGAACGTGTGAGCTTTCAGTGAACCTGCGGCCCTGCATTATAACGGTAACTATTCGAGAACCTCCAGACTGGCCGTCATTCAGTTCAGTTGAAGGGGAGCTTACCACAATGGCATTGGGAGAATGCATCAGTGCTCTCAGCTCATTGAGATCATTCTCAGCCTGGATCAAAACAAAGGGAGGGTGATGGAGGGGAGAGACAGAGAGAGAAATGGTTAGCTCAGCAGTTTCCATGCATACACAGAAAAAAAACACATGAGCGGTAATACAGTTCTTGTGCTCACTTCCTTGTTCAAGATGATTGAAAACCGACTTCACCAACGGACTGATGTCTATATGCTGTGATAAAATTCTAAATGATATAACACCCATAACAAAAAACGATTTCCCTGATCCATGATTGGTTATTGGAGAGTACAAACCAATTCCACCACAATCAAAAAATAAACCACCGTTTAGCTCAACTCTGGTGTTAATTTTCAGTCCTGCAGTTCTGGCTTAGGGTAATTATTCCAGAGGACACACAAGGCCATTTGTAATAAGACGTGTGCTTCAATAGGCTCTAATATGTTGAAATGAGTCATCTCCAGCGATAAAGGGGTAATCAAGCCGAGTGTAGATTTAGGAGCCAATAGCGCCAACACGTTTTACAATGTGCTAATATAAACCTGATGATTTCGCGATACCTAAATGATCATCCAAATGGAGCCCTGACAACATGCTGCAATAATGCCTGGCTATGATTATAGTGTTCTGATAAACCATTATTGTGATCTTGAATTAAAAAAAAATGGGCAGAGATTGGGATGTGTGCCTTGTTATGTTGCTATAAAAATGACAGAAATGGTTTCCTGGAGTAGGCTTTAAAATAAAGAGCAGTTTTATTCCACTATGTACTGTTACATAATAATTTAAAACCCGATGAGTAACCACCTGAAGTCGGTTTTTTCCCTGAGCTAAATATTAGTATTGAAAGTAGCCGATTAAATGTTTTGTCAAATATAATACATGACCCGTAATACATTAATTATGCAAGACTCAAGTAAAGAAAGCTATGCGCTCTGTAATTGCTAGTTTAGGTGACAAATGGCACTTCAACAGTAAGATCTGTTGGTCAAGAAAACAGTTTAATTGGTACTCATCAAAAAAATAGTATGAGTTTCTACAACTGGGGCCACTTTGTTTATGCTTTCCAAACAGGAATCATGTTTGCTTTTGCCTATTCATAGGAGACAATCTTCACAAATAAATGTAATAGAAGAAGTTCAGTACAGACAACAGATCACTAGGAAGTTCCCCGATCCCCTGTTTATTCATGTGCGTGCCATTATGTAACCACGGTAACCCAAAACCAACCTTGTCCCACTCCCCCTCCATGACGTGGTTGCGGAACTTGGTAGCTGAGGAGTGTTCCAGTCTGCAGCCCGATTCCTGCATCAGCAGGTCCACTGTCTGACTGCAGAGACACAGATAGGGGGGGGGGGGGCAGTCAAAGTTAGGCATATAGACACAAGACAGGTAGAATGAAAGAAAGGGGAGGGTAGCTTTCAAATGAAAATTCAATGACGAGTTCAACTTGAGATTTAAGTGGCAAGATAAGGATTTGGGGATTTAAGGAGCAATTCTGGACTTTCAAAAAAAAAAAAATGGGAGCTCATCAGTCTGGTGAGAAAGTAAGCTCATGATTAAAAGAAGTGCAAATTCTAGGCAGATCACCCAACTTATTTTGATTATCGTATCACCTTTGACATTTCATCACTGTGACTCAGCCATGTTTACCAAAAGTAAATAGGCGAGTAGTTTGGAGATCAGCAATTTAACACTCCAATAGCAAGAGCGTCATTAGCTGACAATAGAAAGAAAGCAATGTCATGGCCAACAGTGTCTGGAGAAAGCCAGCCCCCTGCAGGTATGAGGATTATTTGTGTACAGTGGGCTAATGCTAACATAAACAGAGCCTCCACTGCAGTTGACATCATCCTCTCAGTCAACCATGAATAACTATCTATCCAAACACCACCTCTGTGCTAAAACACAAATAAGACTGCCGAGATATGAGCGAGAGAGATAATGAAAGTGGGTTTGGGATGGGGGTGGTGGACACCTTCAGCATGATGACATCATCCTCAGGTATCAATGGAGTGGCGCAGCAGCAGCTCTGTGGTGAGCCTCTCATCCAGCTGGCTGCTACACTGATTTATCTTGCATTGAAATGTAGAGGCTCTTCTCCATTCCAGGCAATGTCATGTCCCCCCCTTCCCTGACCCAGCCTCTTTGTAAATATAGCGATGTGTTTTATAATGGCTTTTTAAACACTTTCCCAGCTGGATACCAGAGATATGCGGATGTCAGTGACTACTAATGCCACATTGAAGAGGAGGGCTACATTTCTTGAAAACCTCATAGTGAAACAGCTGGTAGAAAGTGCATTCTTCAGCTGCAATGAAACCAACAGATTCTGCTCAATACAGATCCAACTGTCGCCTACGGTATCGACTGCTGTCTTTAAATAAAAACACACGCGTCAGTATTTGTTACAGACTCTTGACACGATGCTCCAACACGGTGACAACGACAGAAAAATACATACATGAAGCTAGAGAGGAAGTTATGATGATCGTGAGATAGATGCACAAAACGGCGATTAATATGATAAATTTAACAACTTGACAGCCCAGGATGTGCAAATGGTGCATGTGAATTAATAAAATAACCAGGACAGTTTTCATAACCATGCTAGTTATAACAGTGTGACCGACCTATTAATGATCCTCCCACACGGTCTTGCAAGAACCATATTGTTTTTCCCGAGCTGGAAAATTAAGAAAACCACCATCGGGGCAAAAACCGACGTTGACAAACCGCACATTAACATTTCCTCCGCATTTTCTTTGCAATAGCATCAAAACGCAAATACGTACACTGCAAACTCGATAATCCTGCTTGTGTACTTAATAAAGAAGCTAAATCAACGTTACCCATTAGCATGACATTATGCTTGACAAACCATAACATAGATCTTTAAATAACGTTAGATGATGTAATGCATTTGTGCAAAAACGATTAAACGCATCATGGTGTAAATTACATATAACACTACTTAAACGATGGATGGATGTGTTAGGGAGACAAATGTCAAGCTTTGTTTTATTTGTGTGAAGGTTTAATGTCAGGACATAGCAGCCTAAGCGCAGGCTAATGCTGCTAGCTTCCAAGCTAACTGTTATTGTGCAAGATGGACCCCTTCTTTCTACCAACTGCCGAGCTCACAGGCGAACTGCCCCATCCCCCCATGTTTGTGTCTGTCAGCGCACTAACAGCGCTTTTACCATCTGTTGTTTCACTCGAAACACACGTTATGTAGATTAAACTTCACATGTTCAACACTAACACTAACTGTAGATGCTCTATTTTCCTCCACTTTGAATAAACTTACTTCAGCCCTAGTCCGTGGAGATGTTGCCCTATTAATCGGATGACATCTTCCTCCGCTTGCGATAGTCGTTTTTTCTTTTTCAGAGAACCGACCTCCGAGCCCGAAGCCGTAGGGGCCGCCGAAGTCCCCGAACCAGGCCCGGTTGCAGACCCATTACTGGTACCGACACCATTCCCGTTGTCTGTGCTGGAGAGGAGCCCATTGGAGTGGGTTCCACCAGCCGTCGATGACTCCCCGTTTTGTGCGCTGTTTAGGCAGGAGAGATCTGTAGATTCCTGTCCCTGTCCTGCACCGTTTGACTGCATACTGCTGCTGAGGTTATTGACAACACTTCGGTTAAAGTGGATGGCTGAGGTGGCTTGAGAGTGTGGAGAATGAGTAGCAAGTCCTAAGACAATTCCGGAGAGGCCTGTTACAACTGCTGAAGCCCCGGGCTCTCCTGCTCCCTCCGCCGCCGAGGCTCGGTGCTTCTTCCGCGGGGGCGGCGACGCTCCGCCGGTGTCCGAGTCGGAGGAGGAGGAAGCGGAGGCCAGAGTTTCCTCACCGAGAGCGGCCGTGGTTAGAAGCCGGCGGAGCTCCGGGTGGGAAATGAAGGTTAAGCTTCCAGATTTGAGGCCTCGTTGTCGGGCTCAGAGCGGACTGTCACTGTGGGAGCGCTGTCAGTTAGCCCGTTTTTGTTGTTGTTTCCCTCAAAACAGCTGCAGCTCTAATGGAGTGCTGACGCTCTGACGTAACCGGAAATTCCTACCCTACCAAGCTTCCGGGTAGAATTATAATCACTGGGTGGCGCATGAGAACCTAGTTAGCATAATAAGTAACTGAAAACAATGAAACATCACATTAAAATTCATTTGAATGTCTCCAGAGACTTGGATTTAATTCATCCGCTATTTAAAAATTACCATATTGTCTACAAGTGGGATTTCTTTCTCTCCTAACAAACTGCCTACAGCTCAATAAATCATACATCCCTAAATTAATATCCTCCAAGAATAGACTAAAATATAATGTAGGTAAAGGTTTTTTGATCTTGGCTAAACATTAGACTTTAGCACTAAATTAGAACATATTAATCACACAAGATTTATTTACCTGTTTTGACTTCTGGAAATGATCAGCACATTTAAATTCAAATCCTTTCTGATATTTTGATAATAATAACCCTAAAGACTGCAAGATCCAGAAATGAACCGCAAAGATGTAGTGCAAACATATTTATTGACAGTATAAATACAGTGTTATTAAGCTACAATATTTTTACAAAACCTGAGCTCAAGGCAAACAACAAAGGAGATTAATGTATACGTCTGTTCCTAGCTTGTAATTCTCATAGCAGTCCATTATTCAAGTACAAAAGGATAACAATTCCTAAATTCCTCAATTATGTACAATTATACAGAATCAGTTTTATCGTGAGTTGTATAGCATATTATGTGTTGTGTTGGTCTACTTTCATATGCTTTACATTGCTACAGAGCTTATGAAAATGATCTATGTAAGTCACCTTCTGCTCAGGCTTATCCATAACAGCTTTTCACACAGTGGACAATTTTCAATGGTCCCCAACTTGGTGTGGTAAGGTAGTGGTCATCGGACCGCCATTTTTACTAGGGTTGTCTCTTCCTTTCATGAAGAAGGTGAGCAGCTCCCCTTTCCCTTTGACAAATATAGGCCCTCTTCGGATAAAACGGAAGCTGTAGTTCTTAAGGATGTCGTAGCAGTCCTCTACCACCTGAGGGTAGACATGGACAAAATCAGAAAGTATACAACATCCATTGTACAGTACATAAAAGCAAATGTTGTGTAATTGCAGATAAGATATTGTATTGATACAAAAACCAAGATCAAGACAACAGTAACAAGTGAGTTTAGAGATTATTTTAAAAAGGACACTGAATTGAATAGTCTAAGATCCTCAGGTAGAGCTTTTCCAGTATAAAACAGTAAATCAAAAATATAACAGGATGTTTTCAAGTGTGTATGTCTGCTTTTGTGTTTGTACCTGGATGTTTCCCATCACTCCAGTAGACTCCATTCTGCTGGCCACATTGACCGTGTTGCCCCAGATGTCATAGTGAGGTTTACGAGCTCCTATCACTCCCGCCAACACTCCCCCCTTATTCAGACCTGAAAACATGGATATATTTAAAAACTTGAAAGATGTGCACCAATACAGGCGTACACAGACACAAACACACACACACACTGACCTATTCGGAGCATGAAGTTGTTGAAGGACTGTTTATTGAGGTTGGTGAGGGTGACTTTCATGGCCAAGGCGAAGTCTGCCAGGTCAGCAAGGTGCTGCCAGCGCTCGACCAGAGACTGATCCTCTGGCTGTGAAACAACAGCACAACTTTTTAACATCGTCACCATGTGAAACAACAATTAATGTATGAATAAACAATGGATTGTTTCCAATGTTAAGGAGTATCCAACTAGATGTAATTTGGATTACATTATCAGTTTACAAAAAACATTAATTGAGTGACTTTATTACAAACTGCTATGTGCAGACCTTGCGCTTGCTATAGTCGTTGGTGTTGCTCTCTGGAGTGAGTCCTGATGCTGCCATGTAGGTGCTTCCTATTGTCTTGATTTTAGTGATGAAGCGGAACTCTTCTCTATCTAGTAACTGGTGAAGGAAGCGGACATACAATAAATACATAGTAACATTCAAACACAGTTAATCAAATGGACTGTAGGCATTTAAAACCTTAGAGATGTACCAATTGTTCTCATTTTTTACAACCAGCTGTACAAAAACGTACACTATCAAAGTCTGAGATTATTTCATTGAGAATCCTTAGACACTCGATGCCGCCGTTGTTGATGCCCTCTTCAGTGTAGAAATCAGAAAAGTTGGGGATGGAAGCGAACATCACACCTACTTCATTGTAGGACTGGCTGTACAGCTCCTACAAATGACAAATGACATGGAATTAGTGTGTCTGACTTTATATTGCTTATTTTCTTCTTCAATACGGTTTTTGTTATCATTGATTATTAGACAAACATGAGGATGTGTATTTTGTAAATTGTGTCATTTTTATTTATTTTTGTATCTTTAATATCTTTTTGTATGCATGCATCTTAGTTAAAATTAAGCTGTGTTTTGCTCTGTTCTGCTGTAAAAAATGTAAATTTCCTCTCTGTGGTCCGAATAAAGGTTTTCAGATACTGATTCTGAAAGCCCTTATATGTAGTTTTGAAATATTCCACAAGATGGCACTCATGTGCATTAAATAGCATTGAAATAAGTATAATATACACTATCACTACAATAAGTGGCTTCAGGGCAGTTATTTGTGTTGCACCCTGATGATTTTTAATCCTTTCTGACTTTTCTCACTCATGTCCTTTTTTCTCTCTCACTCCCCCTAAACATCGATATATATATATATATATATATGTCATACTACAACTTGGCCCTCGCTCGTTCATATCATATGTACCTCGTCTCTTTTCTTAGTGCCCAGGAAGTGTTTGGCCACATGCTCCGGCAGCATGTTGGTGACCAGCGCTTCGTTCCAGCGTCTCATCTCAAACACCCTCTCCTTCTGGTCATGCACGCCAACCTTCCACAGAAACAGCTTCCTGGACTGATGCTCCAACTACACACACACACACACACACACCGCAGAATCATTATATATTTCAAGATGAAATAGCAAGTTATATGGATGAAAACATTACATCACACATTACACCAGGGGTCGGCAACCCCTGGCACGCGTGCCAGCATTGGCACGCGGCACCGTAACCAGTGGCACACTAGGAATAAGTGGAATAAGTGTGCACAAATATTTAAATTGTATCTTCGGATCCTGAACGAGACCGCCGCCAGAGCGCGTCTCCCCGTTACCTGCAGAAGGAAGGCATGCACGCAACGCAGCCCCGCTCTCTTTATCTCCAGGTGACATTCTGCCGCTTTCCTCCGTGGTGCAGTGCTGATCGTTTCACCACGGAGGAAAGCACTTCACTAATTGCAGTACTCATAAGGAGCTGTACAAATGCCGCAGTTTTTGCGTGGCTGTGTATTTAGTTGAAAGCCCAGTGGCGATCTGCTCATCTCTCATCGACATAATATGCTACAAAGGGGCGGACTGGCCATCCCAGACCGTAGTCGAGGAGGGCAGAAGCAACAAGCTTCAGGTTCAATAACCCACTTTAGCTTAAATGACTGGAGAGAGGCGAGCTCTTCTTGGGAGGCCGTTGCATTTATTTAGCTGTTCTTCTGTTTCACAAAATACATCACAGACCTCTGTTTTTCTGCTTCCTCGTTTCACTTCCAGAAACATACACACGTTCTCTCCATAGGTTCTCTCACTGTCGCTCTACCATCCACAAACACACCCCTCTCTCTCTCTCTCTCTTAAAGGGACAGCGATCTCATCTCACTCTGCATGACCCTAATATCATAGCATGTGTGCTCTGGAGAATCACAGAACGGACGATCGTCCTTATTATTATGCCGTTTAAACCAATTATTTAAATGTGTTTGTTAAATTCGGCATCATGTGAGTTGCGCTGACACGCTGCTTCCCCGCAGCGAGGCTCCCCCGCCCTCCTGCTGATAGTTGACGAGCGTCAAGCTCCTCAACCCCCCCCCCGTTGATAATTCTCGATCGTTGGCACGCTGATAACAATTTTTTTTTAAAATGGCACTTCATATCATAAAGGTTGCCGACCCCTGCATTACACTATATGGCTGTGGGTCAAAAGTGTGACACAGAGTGGGTGTAGGCCTACTGGAGACAGTGACTCACATGCCGGGCAAAGAAGTAGAAGCCAATCATCATCACAATGATCATCATGGTCATGAGGTACTTGGATGGCACTATTGATGTTCTGGAAACAGGATGGAGGCAGAATATTGTATACTGGAACTACAACTGTATTATATAGCCAACAAAACAACTACAGATGGCAGAATATTTATCTTATAGCTTTTTTAAGGCACAGATTGCGGGCGAATAGGTTGAACATTTTTACAAATAGATTTGACCTTTAAACTGCTCATGTTGAAACTTACTTAAGGAGCTTTTTTTTATTATTAGAAGAGTACTGAAAGTTTAGGTACAAATATCCATATTCGGCATTATTTTAAATAACATATTTAAATACAATTATAAAATATGTTCTAATTGGCTTATAGTTCCAGGACAGAAAATCCAAACATTGGATAAAGTCGGGTCCAAAATCTTTTGCTTTAAATATTCAAAGGTTTTTATAAAAGGGATTTAGCAAATCTCTTTGTATGCTTACATAAATCAGAAAGTACTGTCAGCAGCTTTAAAAAAAAAATCTATTTCAGTAGCACTTTTAGGAATACATATGATATAAATAAAGTTTTCGAGGATATATGAACAAACCCTTCTGTATCCTTCAGAATACAGATAGGAATTAAACTGGAACTGCTAATGAAGTGGAGATGTAAGCTCAAAGGTATGAGACCATTTTAAACAGCCTTTAAAGATATGTATTATAACATTCCATACAAATTATCTAAACACCACAGGTAACTCATAGAGGTCAACAAGCAATTCTGAACAATTTAAAAGTTAATGAATCACCTTTATCTGTGTATTTTCATCAAAATTACAAAATGGTACACTGTTCATTTATCTGTTTGAACAATTTCTCACCTGTACGAGGCAAACTGTATATAGTCATACAGGTCGAAAATGTCCCTCCAGCTGTAGATATTAACGGCTCCTGTTGCTGTGACGACCAGCACCATGAGACCCAGTTTAATCAGATGGCTGACCTGAACCAGCATGGCGGTGGCGATGAGTGACATCACAGCCATGAAGCTGTAGTGCTTTGGGTTCTGTGCACAGCCTCGGTCCCCAAGTGACTCCAACACGGGGCCCGAAGTGCTGTTGAAGATTTGAAGGGACGGAGGTACACAGCTCAGCTGCAATATCAGAGATGAAGGGCATGAGACATTGTCAGTTCACACATGTTATTAGCCCTTTTTGTCACCAAATCCATGTTTAGTATGATTTCCAATTTTCTTTCTGATTGGTTTAAAGTTTGCTCTGCATATGTGTGCAAATAGGTAGAGAATATTTCATTATTCTCTTTGAAGCTTTTGACATCCTGACATTTTCTTGTCACACAAGATGGGTCCATGAGAGTTGGGCCATTTCTTTTTCTTTTTTTACAATATAGTGAAATATATAGATGAAACAGAAGAAAAACTAAATCAGGGTTCAAAAGAAGCACTTACTTTCAGTTTGACGAATTTAGAAAATATCTATTCCACAATGAAGGACATTTTAAAATTGTGAGCACAATTGGTTAATATCTAGGACAAAAGGTGTCTAAAAAATAAATAATATATTTATAGTATATTTTCTGCGGGCACAATTGGTAATTTTATACATTAAATATACTGTACGTCAAAAAACCCTCATAACAACTGCAACGACACGAACAATATTACTTTTTGTGACTTCCGCGTGACAGCTAATACACAGAAATGAATGTTCACTTTAGCGTCCCCTATTCCTGTCAGACATTGAAGGCAGCGTTGTGTGTAACAGGCTGCTCCCTGGGGGCAGTGACAAATGAGCCAGCAGGCAGTGAAACAGACATCTAATGGACCCCACTGGGAACATGTAGTCAGACACATAAAAGGCACTGATGGTTTGATGAGGACAAAGTGGAAACAAACTAACTAAAAGACGCCCACACGCTAGGGTAGGGAGATATGATGATATGTACCATGACAGTGGCATTAAATATTATTTGATTTATATGATAAAGTAGCTTAATATTTTCAGGTATTCCATTCACTGGATTAGCAATGTTTATCACATTAGTACAATGTATTCAGTCATTTTTTCATAAAACTACATATACTGTGAGAAAAACCTTAGCCACACATATATTAACACAATGTGTCAGAGTTTAGTAAAGGTGTCTTTCAATCATACCATGTCAGCAATCACAGCCATGGTAAGAACAAAAATGGCCGCCATGGCCCAGGTGTTTCTGGCCCAGCGTGTGTGATCGATCCACACCGAGAAAGACACCAACCTCTTGGAGAACATCTGTGACAAAAATATATGTTTTACTTCATGTAATGTTTTAATATACTTTACAAGATCAGTGAATCAGTCTTGTATCACAAAGTACATTTTATAGTCAATTGCCTTTGTGATCGTGTACATTTGGAAATGCTAAAAGGTTGGAAAATGCTGATCAAAGACGTAAAACAAATTGTGTTTCCCATCACCGCAACCATGGATACTAGTTTTGTTTTCTCACCCTGGGGAAGATGGCAGCCAGGGAGCAAACTGTGAGGATGAGCAACAATACCTCTCCTATCGTGAGAGTCACATAGTTCACAGCCAACCTAGAAAAAGAACACACAGATTTAGTACATTTTTAGGTAGAACATCACCATTTTTAAAGGCACAATTGGTTCCTGTTTGAATTCACAGATGCCCAAGTAGCATTTTAAACTCTCCAGGCATTTAAGTGTGTACTGATTGCAGGTAATAAGACATATTGAGCTCACAGTGGGTCTATGAACACCTCCATTGCTGTGATGAAGAAGAGCACGATGATGCAGCAGCAGAAGGCCGCCCCGCTCCGCTTCTCCTTCTCTGAGGAGTACTGCTCCTCCAACTTTCCATCCACGAAACGCAACAACACAGGGTTGATCTTGTGATCCTTCATTCTGTAAGCAGAATATAAGAAAAAAAACGTTAGAAATGGCTGGAGTTGGGACAAACAAAAGGCCTGTGAGTTGTGTTGTACAACGATTGAGGACCAATTGTACACATTACTTGAAAAAATAATACATTTCTATGACATTTTTTTTTGGTCTCAGCTACTTTAACAGTCTTTATTTTGTCATCTTATTTTATTTGTCAAATGTTCTTACATTTGCTGGGTTTCTCTCTCCAGTAGCTCCTGCTGTAGTCGTTTGTTGATCTCTTGTTCTTCGGCCATCTTATTCTTCTGAGTTTCGGAGCAAGAAAATGAGACATAATAGACATAAGACATAGACATAATCTTCTCTGGTCCCCTCCCCAATCTGATCAATGATGACATGTATAGCCGCATGTCATCATTTCAGAGGAGGTTGTCTTGGTGGTGCCCCGCAAACAATGTGGGCTTCGTAAACAATTGGACAGCCTTCTGGGGAAAACCTGGTCTGATTAAGAGAGACGGCATTCATCCTACTTTGGAAGGTGCAAATCTCATTTCGGCAAACATTTCAGGGCTTTGTGGACTTAATCCATGACAAACTGGAGTTGAGACCAGGAGGCAGAGTCGCAGTCTTACGCTTCTCTGCGCTCTCTCCTAGGCAGTCATCCATAGGAATCCCGAACCCAATAAAATACCCAATATTAACGGTGTGTGTGTCTGCCCAAGGACAATTTAAGGTAAAACCTAATAGAGGTGTCGTACATAATAACCTAATAAAAGTAAATGTAACAACTACTACAGTGCAACAAAACAGGAAGATTAAATCTCTTAAACATAAGATCTCTAGCATCTAAAGCAATATTGGTAAATGATTTAATATCAGATTATAATATTGATATATGCTGTCTCACTGAAACTTGGTTGAGACATGAAGAATATGTCAGCATAAATGAGGCCACTCCACCCAGCCATATCAATACTCATATTGCCCGAGGCACGGGCCGAGGAGGTGGAGTTGCAGCAATCTTTGACTCAAGTTTACTTATCAATACTAAACAAAAATTAAATTATACCTCCTTTGAAAGCCTCGTTTTTAGACTTACGCATCCAACCTGGAAAACCAATCTTATTTGTTACAGTGTACCGTGCACCAGGTCCTTATTCAGAATTCTTATCAGAATTCTCTGAGTTTTTATCAACTTTGGTACTTAAAACAGATAAAGTAATTATCGTAGGTGACTTTAATATTNAAAAAAATTGTTTTTTTGTTTATTGAAATATATACAGTTCTGTTTCATATGAGTGTTGAGAGCTTTATCCATACATCTCTTAATGTAGCCCTCAAAGTGCACCAGATTGATGCATTTAACTTCAATTTTAAGAAAAAAATATTCCCGGGGTGCATGCCCCCGGACCCCAGACTAGAGGATGTGAGGTCATCAGAAATAAAACAGGTTCACATGGATAGGATACTAGATAAGTTTGCACACTCATTATATACACTACACATTTTTCTTGGATTTGTTAACACCATAGTCCCTAATATATTTGTACAAAGGAAGGAAATTGAATTAAATTGAGAACATTTTTCATTGCGGAGGACCCCCTGTTTTGTGTCCCCCCCACTTCTCAAACCAAAGTTACACCCTTGATTGAGATTAAGACCTGAACATTTCAGATGTGTGTATCTCACACTGCACTGCAACTTTTATTCATGTACCTTTGTTATTCATGTTTACTTTGCTTTTAAATGAGTGCTTTTAAATGCCATTTTATAATATGTTTCTTAATGCTCTTAATGTCTTTGATTTTTGTAGAGCACTTTGAATTGCCTTGTGTTGAAAGGTGCTATATAAATAAACTTGCCTTGCCTTTCTTCTAGGTTTTATTTTTGTTTTAATTAGTGGTATTGTTATTATGTGTGTGCACGTGTCTATTCCCTCCTTGTGTCATGATAACAGATACAATCAAGAAAAAATTGAATTATATCTTTAAAACCATGGAAAAGGATATATCAGCCATATAAAACATAACCAGTACTTCTATTAAGAATATACCAAACAATATATTGTCAAATCTAGGAAAGAAAAAAGGAGAGAATACAGTAAACCTGACTCACTTCTGCCAGTTGGTCGAAGAGGGCAAACAGTTCATTGAGCAGCTTCACAAGCTCCTGGGCGCTGCAGGCGGAGGACAGCTGGGTGAAGCCAACTATGTCAGCAAACAGGATACTGGAACAAGAGGGAAGAGGTGTAACATTCAGAAACCTTCCCGTAACAAATACCATCAATACAATGCAACAAAAATGTGTGGTCCCAACCTGACGTTTTCATGGCGGTACATGTACATGGTGTTGAACTGCTGCTGCTGCTGGCCCCCGAGCTCACTGGCCTGGTTCTTCATGCCCTGCAGCATCTCGTCTGCAATGTGTTTGGGCAGGATGGACAGTAATAGTTCCTCCTATATGGAGACAACACAGGAGGAACAGTGAGCCTTGTCAGGTTCAGTACTGACACAAAGATTGTCCCATGTGTACGTTTTTGCATTTGTGTGCATAGCATGACTGAGGTAGAGAAGGGATTCTCACGAGATCCTGCCAATATGTTCCTCTTGGTTGGGTCTGTCTGTCTTCTATTAAGCCCCCCAATGAAAAGACACTTGGGGAATTTTATTCATTCTCTTTTTGTCTTCCACATACTGTTACTATACCATTATTCCTCATCTTTTCAACCCTATAGAACAACTCTACAACAACCTTGCTCTCTTATTCCCAGAAATGGTCACATCGCAGCAAGAAATGTGAGATGTGATTAAACAGAGTAATTTAATTAATTAGATTAAGGTTGGAGTAAAAACATGGTATAGTATATTTGGCTGTAATAAATCAAACTAATGTATTAGGAATACTGTATCATTGTGAGTTTATTGAGAACATGATTGCAGAGAAAAAGTAAAAAGTATGTATAATTCATTTCTTAGGACAACTTTGAGGATTCAGATTCAGATTAATAATTCAAAAATATAATCATAAATTATTTTAATGTGTTATTATAGGTTAAGATAAACTGTATTAATCCCTTGGTGAAATTCATAAGCTATCTGGCAGTATATAAAGTAAAGAAAAAAAGTTCCAAGTTAAATACCTTCAACAATAAAGGGATGAACGGTTTAATGCTTCAATAATTGTAATAAATATAACTGCAAATGAGCCCTTGTGTAACATAGTTACACTTCCTATGGTACTTTAAGTTCATTTTTATGCTTAACCTTTGCACTTTTACTTACTTTACATTTTGAATGCATGAATTTTACTGAACATATTAGTAGAATTGCTTCTTTTAACATGTGTTTAATCTTGTATACGTGTGACTTCCCTTTACATTCCAACCCCTCATTTCTGAAAGACAAATTAAAGCCTAAATAGATAATTTATAAACAATTGGACCAAAATCAAAAAATTATGGAGAAAGCTGGCAGCTGCAAAAAGTACCATAGAGAAAGAAAAACAGATGGACACAGATAAGTTCACATAAGGGGAAAGGAAGAGCTATTAAAATACAAAACAAATTCCTAAATCTAAGTGTATCCTTCAACAATTTAGGTTTTGTTGGCACAGAGCTTAATCCGTCCATATTGTGCTCGGTCCCTCGCGGTGGCTGAGCTGGTGAAAACAAGTCTGTCTAATCACCCATATATCCTCGAGCTCAGCACAACACATTATAATTAGGCAGAACAGCGTGTCCTTCCTCACCGGTGTGTTTGCGTATAATGTGTATGTGTGTGTCCAAATTAGGAAATGAATTATCTCATGAGGCAAAGTCTACCTGTAATTGTGTATTTGTGTGTGCCACGTTTACCTGCTGGGTGCTCTCCTCCTCCAGTGTGACTTTGACCTGTAGTGACTGACGGGCCTCCAAAAATGCTGTCCTGTACTTCCTGTCCGCCATGTAGTACGACAACACACCCACCGAGGCTGAGCACAGGTACAGCATCATGTTGGCTAGGAGCTGAAGACAGGATGTTTGTTTGTTTACTGATAGTAAGTTTCCTCATTCTGTCAATGTGTATTGTTTTTTGTAGTTCTCATACATTGAATTGAATATGGGAATCAGTTTTTTAAAGAATAATCAGCTGGATTCAGAACATGTATGTATTGCTTCTAACAGATGTATTGAACCTTTCAGTGAAGAAAGACAATTTTCTGCAATGTAGGCCTATTTTTATCCGAGACTAAAATATAGCTGAAAATTGAAATACATGTAAATATAGTCAGTGTAAATTCTCTACAGAAATATATTTTTCAAATATATACCATTGAGACTATTCTGGCTATAGTGCAAGTAAATCTCCACCTGCTACATCAAGAATTCAACTTGCTTAAGGTGGAACTTTTGCAAAATGACATTATTTACATACAAAAACTTAAAGAAATTACCATTGTGTTCACAATTTTTTTTTACAATGTGAATACAAATTGTTAATGGGCCAAATTTGGCCATGAATTAAGGATCATGCAATACCCTGAAAGCATCGAATCTTCAGTGCCTTACTGTCCTGTATGACCATTTTGGGCTTCTTTTCATTTTTTAGGTTTCAGGTGCTTTGTCATTTATCACTTTACAGGGGACCATATTTACCTGTCTAACCAGCATGGGCCCCTGCAGGTCATCCTCGGACTTCTGAGCCACAGTCACCCCCAGCACCAGGGTGTGTATCCCAGAGGAGAGGGCCGTGAGACGGAGCAGCGGCCCCAGGTCCAGCGGAAGGGTCAGAAAGCTGGAGAAAGTGAAAAAGGCCTGCCAGCCCACAGAGTCACTTCCTTGGGGGAAACGCTCATAGTTCAGACACATGTAACACAAAACGTGCACGTTTATCATCAGCCACAGAATGTACGGCACTGCTCCGCGCGCCACCGGTGACGCGGGAAGCTTCTGCAGCCGGCACAGCACGTACAGCCCCGCGTCCGCAGAAAGCCCCACCGCGGCGACCACCACCATGGCCAGTTTGTCCTTAGTGTACACCACCGCGCACATGATGATGATGAAGCTGTTGAAAAGAGCGGCAAACAACGCCAGCACGAGCAGGTTTTCTTGTCTTTGTCTGCGGAAGTAGTTCTGGTAAATTCTCTCCAGTGACTCTGGAGCAAACGCAAGGCGCGCCGCGCGCGGCAGGCAGCGGCAGCATCTCGACTGGAGCACGGTCACTTCACGGGTCTGAGACTCACCGTGACCCGTGTCACTGGGACCCTGAACCGAATACTCCACCGAGTACTCTGCAGACTGCTCTGTGTCTGTCGTGGGGATCCGGTTCAAAGACATGTTGGTTTAGTAAAGACTATCCTGATGGTTCCTAATACTGTTTATCAATGCCAAAATCCATGGAAAAGTATCACAAGTAATAACATCGTGAAACTTTTTTTATGCAAAAATTAATCCATGGTAATGAAAAGCATTTTAGTACTAACAATCATAACATCCCATGGAGTTTTAGGCATCAAAACGTGCTCTCCTTCTTAATTATATGGTGTCAATAACTTCCTTTAAAGTACTTTACATTACAGTTATGAAGATGCTGCTCCACCCCAGGCTGCTTCAGTGGAAATACTTCTTCTTCCTTGCTGCTGGAGTCCTGTGTGCTGCCATGGTAGACCAACAAAACCCTGAGCCACAGGTGGATATCCATTTGCCAGCAACATATAATCTTTGCAGAGAGGGCATTATAAGTATATGTAGGCAAAAGGGCATTTTATTCTGATGTACGGATCCATATTTCTCCTTACTCCGGTACGATCTGCACGACAGACTGTACTTCAAGATGCTCTTCAGTTTTCTGATGTTATTCTTCGTTTCTCTCTCCTCCCACCCTCCCCCTCCTTTTTCTAAACACCAAGTCCTCTGTTACTTTTGCTAAGATGAAGCCAAAGTGACTACCAGATTGCAATCATGTTTGGGAAGTGTGGCAAAGCTGGTGTGAAGAAGTAAGGGAGAAGGATTATTACATCCACTCTTTGAAAAAATTAATTTTCTACCAGTACCAACAAATACACTTGTTTTTTCTCTGACAAATTTACTTTTGACAGTGTTATGTTAAAAAAAAATACAAAAATGTTATTTAGCATTCCAATAAAACAGACAGGAAAAGAAAATTGAATTGAAATTAAAAGTTCTGTATGCCAACACCTAATACCATATATCTACCTCAAATAAGTATTTTGAAATCTACATTTTCTGTACATTTTCATTAACACTCACGTGCAGACACAATCTTCCAAGATTTCCATATTCAAATAAATACACAAACACATGCTTGGATAACATTTATTCTTATTTTTTTTAACACTCAATTACACATCTTTATGACACGATTGTCAGGTATGCAAATTTGCTTTTCATTTAAAAGAGTATTTGATTCAAATTCGGTATTCATATTTTACGTCAGTTTGAATATGCAATAATGCAAGAACATGCATATGCACACACATGCACTCTTAGCGTTTGGCCACAGATCTGAGCGCTTCTATCAGTCTGTGTGTGTGTTGGTTGTCTGCGGTGATTTTCCTATCATGCCACTGAGGGCACTTCCCAAAGCCAACAGTATAGCCACAGAAACTCCCAGAGTCCCCAGCCTCCCCAGAGCTGCAGTAGCCAGCGCTGCAGCCCCCAGTGCCCCGGCTCCGATAGGTGCTGCTGCTGCGGTGACCGTCTCCATGCCGATTCCTTTAATTAGCTCTGGCCCCGTGAGAAGGCCCCTTTGTAGATTCACCTGAGTGTTGAACGGGCTCTTTGGTGCACCCAGGACAAACGCCCCTACTGCAACTAGGGTGATTTGTAAAAGTTCTGATATTGTTAGGGGTGTCGAATTCACTGCTAGGCCGAGCGTTGACAGAAGTACACCAATAACGACTGACCCTAGAGCTGCTAACGTTGTGTTTTTAGACCCAAACGCCTGTTTTGCTGCAACGCTTGCAGCTCCGAGCGACACCCCTGCAGCTGTAGCCGCTCCTAATGTTCCCCCCATGCTGCTCCGGGATCCTAGAGAAAAACTTGAATGCAGTATGGCTCTAAGAGAAGCAGATGATATTATGGCAGCTCCCAAAGCGACCTTTCCAGCCGCCTCTGGCCCCAGCCCAACCGTGGCCACTGTTCCCAGACCAGCTCCGAGCAGGCCTGCGGACAGATACGCAACCCAGAGGACCGACTGCAGCATCAAAACCACCTCCGCTTCAGACCCTTCTCCTGCTCCACCTGCCCCTAAACCAACCGAAAATCCCAGTATACCCACAAAAACAGAGTAGAAGAATATCCTCTCCAGGAGTTTGCACCCGCTTTTAGATTTTGGTTTTTGGGTCATTCTCTCCGTCAGAGCCTTTCGAAGGGCACAAAGCACGGAGATGGTCAATCCCATGATGAAGAGTCCAACCATGACTCCCATTCTTCCGTACAGGACACTGAGGTAGAGTGTGGTGAAGATGATCAACAGAGCTGTGCTCATGTCGTTGATATTGGAGTATGAGTAGACTACAAGGACCAGAATGCCTTGGACGGCGATGCAGATCCATGGAGGAAGGATGCCTGCTAACACTCCAGTAGTGACAGCACCAAGCACAACAGAGGCTCCCGTCGTGGCCTCCTCTAACCAAGGCAACCTCGCTCCAACTTTATTCAACAGCTTCATCACCATGGCAGCAAGGAGGAAACCACTTCCCAGAGAAATGAGCAGTGAGGTGAACACGAGACACGCTGTCACAACGCCGACCCCAGTGGATCCGGCTCGTTCAGCAGCCAGAGTTGCAGCAGACAGCAGGACGCCATCTTCAGTCAGTGAGGGCTCTACTGCGAATAATGCAGCTTCTCCAAAAGCAAATCCTGCTGCTGCACTTTGTAGGATCGTCTGCACTGCACCAAAAGCACCTAGGAGAGGAAAATAAACAAATATATGATATATAATAATTTGTTTACAAGGTTGAAATGAACTAAGTACATTTAATTCAATGCCAACAACAATTGTACACATGAAGTTCAGTTTAGTGGAACTGCATTACGGAAAATGTAGGTTTCAGAGTTTTTTTGAGCACAATTTACAGTATTTTTAGATTTTTCTTCTTTTAATTTTTTTTTATTAATCAATCTTTAGTTTGAACAATTATCATATCATCAAATAACATTCATTAATTTTGAATGTAAATATTGCACTTTTTCCAAACCCTTTTCCGACAGCTCGTATAGTTACTTTTATTTATCAATAAAAAATGATGATCAAATTGTAAAACATGTTGTCTTGCCGAATGTCCTATGTTTTTAAAGCATCTGCAATAATCCAATAGCAATAGAGTACACATTTGCCATTCTAAATTAGGAGTATTTTTACTCTATGTATATTAACATAATACATTACTTTTATTGACTAACTATTAAATGCAGGAGTTTTACTTGAAATTAAGTTATTTTATATTGCGGTAGATATACTATTCAGTACTAAGTAGTAGAGGATCTGAATACTTGTATTTTCTCAACTCGAAAAATGGCTCCTGTCACTTTAAGACGAAAGTGAAACCACTGAAATGGATCCACGCTGAAACTTAAAACTAGGAACACTTTCTGAACTACGAAAGAACAACAAACATTTCAAACAGACCATTTTATTACCCCCACCCTTGTGTCAGTGCAGTTAATTATCTGCAATAAATAGTTATCTGTACTCTGCTTCATTATGGTACAACAACAGCAACGCTGTCACATGGCTGCAGATATGAACTCTGAATCATCTGTCCAGCAAATGAGAGCAGCTGATTGAATATCTGATATACTGTTATTTATCTCAAGTTTAGCTATATTGTTTTAAGTGTATCTCTTAAATAGTCTTACCAAGGCTTGTTTCTGCCATGGATTCTTGAGACTGCTTCTGCATGAAGCTCAGGCACAGAACACAGGCTCCACCTTTTCCTGTCTGATGCCACTTTTCACCCACAGAGGGCAGACCGCAGACACAACCATAATAAAGATAAGTGAATGGTTGACATTCAGTAAAGTTATACCTCATATCAAAATGTTTTTAAACGGTCAGCTGTTCCTGTTAGTACAGTCTGTAAACATATTCTAAATAAATGCAGTAATAACTGTTTTTTTTCCCAACAGAATGTGCATTTGTGTTCTAAACAATTGTTTTATTTTTGCAGGTTTAATTGAGGCTTAACCAGTTAAAATCTCACTTATTCACAAGCACAATACAAACCAGGAAACATGTTGCAATGCATGATTTCTGTTTTTTAATTTTTTTTTATATATATAGTTAAGAGATAAAGAGGGAAGTCAGGGGATGTTATAAAAAGTGTTAAACCAGTTGTAATGATTAACAATACTTGTTTTTTCCAGTCTCAGTGCACCTCCTGCTGGAGTCTGCTATGTTGGAATTCCTCTCTAATCAAATGGTCTTTTATTAAGACCACATAACAGACGTAAATGTATATTTTGTAGACGCAGGTGAAATACAAATATAAAATGGAACTCGGCCCATGGGCATAGGTGTATAAAGAGAACGCGAACGCGGCCCCTCCAACTTCCTGTAATTCCGCTGTCAGCTGACTCAACCGCCAGGTCACGTGGCTCTCGTTTATGTTCCATTGGAGTGTGTCACTTGGTTTCTTTACACGCCAACAGTTTGTTTATCACGGGTTTTGTTTCAAGGTCTGAGTGAGTAAACAGAATATAAGCTTTAGCAAACACTGCAGAAAATGTAGAGGAAGAACAAAGAGGAAGAAGAAGATAAAAGCTGAGATTCGGAGTTGAGGAGACTCATTCTCCTTCGTCTTTCTTCCTTTACTGAGAACAGGTCACTACATTTAAGTAAGTAGGTTTGTCTTTTCATAAGTATACACTGTATTTGTATACACTGTATTTGTATACCCTACACGGCTAATTAGTTTTGACAAGTATTGGATGCTCTGTGTTACATACAAACTACAGTTTATTGACAGATATGGACATGTAAGCCCACACTTTACAACAATATAAGATGATAGTTTATGCTAAACACGTTTTTCATGTGTTATACCTGTCATGTTGTAAGAAATGTATGTTATTTGGATAAGTAGTGTTATGATTTAGATCAGTGGTTCTCAACTGGTCAGAGTTGAGAACCTCTCAACTCGACGAAGCCGGATTTTCGCTTAGCGGGCTAATTTAAGGGAAAACTCGGGGTTTCCGTTCCTACGACGCTGGTTCTCTTTTTAGCGGGCTAGACCTCCATGGTAATTTATGCTGAACGGCTAACCTGCTCCGGAGCAGGTTAGGTTGCAGTTTACCACAGCTGAAGACTTCTCCACGCTACTTTCAAACTGTGAGTAAACAACGTACGCTTCACTTGGAGGCTGTCAGAAGGTGTACACACAGGTCTCTCAGATGGACTTGGTATCACATAAATAACGATATTCAGTAATAAGTCTGGCAACAATAGCTGGTTTAAATGATTTATTGGAGCTCGCAATGTTTTTGAACATCCCCAGTCAACTCGTTTTTTATTTTTGTAGTCCTCGCTGTTCGCGTCCGGATATCGCCATCTTAACCACAACCTCACACACTGGTACTGAATGTGCATCAAAGTCTTCCTACCGAGCCAAATATACCAAAAGATTTATGTAAACGACAGAAGAAGCGATCGAAATGTGTATTTCAGTCGAAGGCCACGCCCCCCACCTCTGTGCCCCAGTTGATCAGGAAACCAGTTAATCCGGAACACCGGCAAAAATCACCGACTGTGTGAACGTGAAAATGAATAGAATATCACCTCCCATCTTCAGAGCAATCTGACAATTACATATCTGCCACAACATAAGTAACCGGATCAAAGTAACAGTACGTACTGTCCGCGGCACTGTGAGTGCAGACGTCGATGTGTTTCATTATCATTCATATCACACAGGGGCGGATCTAGACACATATTCATGGGGTGGCAGGAGATTTTGAGGGGTGGCATGCATCCCCTGGCAGAAGTATATTAGACCCTCCAGAAAAACGCGATTCTGCGATCGCAGAATTTACCGCATAATCAGCAAAATGGCGCAGATTTTTAAAAGGCCGCATATTTATCAAAAGGCCGCATAATCCCCGCATTTTTCCACACAAAGTTGAGAAGAAAAAAAAGTTAACTCGTCTTGACGTGACGTCATCAGCTCGCGCATCACAGAATGTAAACAACACTG